GTCGTAGAATATTTGACAAAGAAATTGAAAAATAATGTTATTTGAACCTACTCAAGATATGGTTTAACTTCAACACAGTTGATTAATATATGAACATGAGCGGATTTAAATTCAAAATCAGTCAACCAATGACTTAACTCTCGTCCTGAAGGATGACCAACTTGTTGGAAGATTGATAACATTGAAACTTGTGTTTAACTTTGAAATTCCTTTTCATTTCTACGTTGTCATGGTAATAACATGAAGTTGTTGAAATAATGAGAACAGAGTTAGTTGTCTTACGATGCAAGTAAGCTGCACAAATTGATCCTTCAACTTTGGCCTTCTTTTTCATTGATCATTTTGAATCGCCAATTGTCGCTGCCTCCCAAAAACGAAGGGGCGGTCGGAGTGACGCGATGGTTTTTCGACCCTCTTGCTTTCGCATTTTTTATGGGTGGTTACAACGTCCTTAGGTTGTCCGATAACCGGGCTAACCTAGAGACAAGGTTTTCGAAAAGTGTTCTTGGGTTGTCCGATAACCGGGCTAACCCAAGAACGGGTTTTAAAGGGTTCATGGAGTCGCAACCGATGTTTTTACCGGAAACATCGGAAAAGAAGTTTAAAAAGGCGTTGGTTTTCGAAAAGAAACTTTGGTCATTAGAACCAGAGTTGGGTAAGGGAGTTAGTTACGTGTAAAGGAAGTGTTAGTTCCTTTACGACGCCCCTTTCGGGTTCCCTATGATAGGCCGGCTACTTTGGATAAATAATTAAACTGGAAAATTGCGCTTTTACCCTTTTATTATGCGGTATTTAAAGATTATGACTACATGGCCCTAGCGTCTATTGCATAATTTTAAATGAAAGCGGTAAAATTAGAAAGAGAGAGGGTGCACCTTCAAAGCAAGTTTTTTGTATTTCTCTTTTAAAGAGTGGGTGCTTTTTGGCAACCCTTCACTCTACAAACTCTCAGAAACTCTGGAAATGTCTCGGAGGGGTTCTAAAGAAGATTTAAGACGCTGAATTTATGCCTAGAGACACTCAGAAGCTCCGGAAATGCTTCGGAGGGGTTCTAGAGAGAGAAAATCTAGAGAGAAGGAGGAGCTACTGTGTGTTGTGTGGAAAAAGGGGAAATGGAGCCCCTATTTATAGTTTTTCGCACCTGACAGGTCGAGACCGCCGTTTCGTCTGACAGGGTCGAGACCGCCGTCTAGACAATCCAGACCGCCGTCTCGACCATGGCAGGGGGTCGAGACCGCCGTCTGGATAATCCAGACCGCCGTCTCGACTAGGCAGAAGTCGAGACCGTCGTTTGGATAATCCAGAACGCCGTCTCGGCCTTTTTCAGGTGACGAGACCACCGTCTGGACAAGCGAGACGGCGGTCTTGTCCCTGGCGTGAGGCGAGACGGCGGTCTGGTCCTTCCAGACGGCGGTCTCGTCCCTTCAGGGCGAGAAACTTTATTTTTCGGGCCAAAAAACCCTCCTATCTTAGTACGGGGGCCTAATAGTCTCTCCTAGTGGCTTGTTAGGCTTCGACCGTCTTCAAATAGGGGGTCTTCTTACTTTATTTGGAGGCCGGGCAAGATTTGGGGTCTACACCAATGAATCTAATGAATTAAACAACAACATTATGATTGATAAGTGTAATAAGAATGACATTTAAAAGGCATGGGACAATCATTTTAGTACCTTTTAAATGGATACATCCACCTATATTGCACGGGTCCACCAAGTCAAGCTTCATATGCCAGATGAATAGGAAGATGTTCCATTGAATCAAAGAATCCAGGAGGAAATATTCTTTCCAATTACAAAGAATAATTGGAATATTTTCTTCCATTCTAGTTAGCACTTCTCTCTTCAATGTTGCAGAGCACAAATGTTTTAAAAAATGACTAATTTCAATAAGAGGATTTAAAAAATGTATTGGTAATGCACTAAATGCAATAGGAAGTAAACAATCCATGAATATATGACAATCATGACTTTTCATGCCATGAATCCTCCCTTTTTGCACATCAGCACATCTTGTTAAGTTGGAAGAATAATCATTGGGCATTTTAAGTTCTTTTATCCAATGACAAACTACTTTTGCTTGCTCAGTACTATATGTGTAGTTTACTTTAGGCTTTAACATTTTCCCATTAGCTTGTGCCTTCAACTCCAAGTCTCTACGCCTACAATATAAAGCTATATCTTTTCTTGCTTTGTCATTGTCTTTTGTCTTGCCACTTACATTCATCACAGCGTTGAAAATATTATCAAAGAAATTTTTCTCTATGTGCATAACATCAAGATTGTGTCTCAACAAATTATCTTTCCAATATGGAAGATCCCAAAATATGCTTCTTTTTGTCCAATTATGCCACTCTCCATATCCTTCTATCCTTGTCACACCACATTCAGTTACTTTTGGCAAATCTTTTACCCTTGACCATACTTCTGCAGGTGTTAGCCTAGACCCTTCTAATTCAACTTGTCCCTTCCGAAAAGCTTTAATGTTCCTTCTAAAAGGATGATCATTAAGTAAGAAACTTCGATGCAAGTCAAACTAACAACTTTTACGACCATAATTTAATGTAAATGATTTTCTATGCTCCATACAATGTGGACAAACCAATCTACCATGAGTCCCCTAACTAGATAACATCCTATATGCTGGAAAGTCATTAATAGTCCTTGAAATATCATATGTGAGAATACCACTCCATAATATTTTTAAATCATCGATTAAAGGCTCCAAGTAAATGTCAATAGAGGCTTTTAGATTAGATGGACCCGAAATTAGGCAAGTTAAAAACATATATGACTTTGACATGCACATATCAAGAGGAAGATTATATGGGGTGACAATCACGGACCAACAAGAATAAGGTGAAGATGAAGCTTGGATATATGGGTTAAATCCATTAGGACATAATCCAAGTCTGACATTGCGTGGATCAGCAACGAAAGAAGGATGTTTCCTATCAAAGTACTTCCATGCTTCACCGTCTGATGGATGGCGTAACACATCAGAACTTCTATTATCATGGTGCCACGTCATTTGCCCAGCAGTTTGCATTGATGTAAATACTCTTTGTAATCTTGGAATTATAGGCAAGTAAAACATTGCTTTTATTGGGACTGGCTTTTTGTGACTTGTTCCAGTGCTATTGTTATGATATCTTGGTGTTTGACAAAATTTATATTCAAGCAATGTCACATCCTTTTTCCATAATCATTGTCATAGAAAATCATACACTCATTAACACAACAATCAATCCTCTTAGCCTCTAATCCCAATTTTGATACTAATCTCTTAGCATCATAGTAACTTGTGGGCAAACCATCTTTTATAGGTGTCACATCCAACAATATTCGTGTCATGAAGTCTAAGCAATGGTCAGGAATGTTCCAATTTGACTTACAAGCTAAAAGTCTAACACATATTGACAATTTTGAGTCTCCCGCCTCTTCAAATAAGGGTTTATTTGTTTCAGCCAACAAATTATAGAACCTTTGACTTGCTTCATTTGGTGGCTCTTCTATATTTACCAACTCGGGTCCTTCAAATGAATGATGTTGCAAGAGAGAATTGTACATCATCTCTTGCATTGACATAAATTGGTCTTGTTGAGGCATGTGTGCACCACTACTTGAACCATGTACACAATTGTGATCAAAATTCTCTTCAACAGGAGGTATTTGTTCACCACGATCGACCCAAATCCAATAGTTTCTTTTGAACCCTTGCTTGTAAAGGTGAACTTTGACGATTTCATCCTTCAAAATCTTTGTACAATCGCATTTAACGCATGGACATCTAATCCCTCCATCATGTTCATAATGCTCATATTGTCGTGTTGTTCTGATAAACTCTTCAACCCCTATAAGAAAAGACTTTTTCAAACCTCTTCTACCACTATAACATCTATCATACATCCAACTGCGATTGAAAGAAATACCATCCATGTTCTGTAATATTGAAGAGAATAAGATCAATTGAAGGAATTGTTTGAAAGAAATCGACCATTGGATTTTGATTAAACTATGCTTCAAATAGAGTAAAAAGACTTAACTAAAACTTTTATGTTTTGCAAAAGTTGATACAAATGAAATCTCCTATAGACTTAAGACAAATAGTGAAATTGCACTTCACATAATTTGAAACAAAATCCAATCTAAACATTGGATTCAACATAATAGTACTAAGCTACTTTAATTTTGTCAAATTCAATTTAACATTTGACTTTCAAGAAATTAGGCTTCAATAAGAAAGGAATCAGTGTACTAAAACACATTTACGTATAAAGATGAATTGAAATTATAGTTATAATTAGTAAGCTTGTAACATGCACATATTGACACAATAAAACTACTAAGTTAAAAATATTGGTAAAATTGTTCAAGAGAATTGTTGTAGAAAATTCTTTGTTTAGTACTCCAGTGCAACATGAAAACTAAAAAAATATGGAAAACCAAAGTGGAAGAGTACTGCTAAATGAAATAAGGCGAAAAAGTGATCAATATGAAACTCAAATATTTAGATCTTGAATTAATTACAGCAAAACTGAAGTTTATTTATTAAAAAAGAAAAACACATTTATGACTTGATGGGTAATAGGATATCAGTCTATTCTATAGCCAAATGGATTATAATTGCTTCTTATTTAATATATTCTATATTCCAATTCTTATAAATGCGCTGATATAATAGTTTGCTTCACCAAAACTGCAGAACTTAGATTTGTTTTCACTAATATTTTTTATGATATTCACGGAAAATGAATTGAGTTTGAGTTCAGGATAATCTTGCTGATTATTGGTATGTTGTTTGTACTAGGTTCAAAGCTGAATTTCCTATCTTTGATAAGGTGATTCCTGATCATTGCTTAAACATCAAGAAATTAAAATATCCACGTATGTTAAGGCGAACGCAAAAATCCTAGTTGCTCCAGACAACCTTTTACTGGGTTGTCATGTCAAGGAACTTTTTTTTTTAGAAAAATATTGCTATAAGAAAGAGAGAAAAAGCACCTTGTGATGGTCCTCTTCCCTATCATCATCACATGCATGCCACAACTCAAAGTGACAATGTAGATAACCAAAGTGCTCTTCCAGAATTCTCATCTTTAAGTCTCCAATTTCGAATAGTGACATTCCACACCCTTCATCACTCTCTATTCGCTAGAAAACATTTTTGCAGGTTCTAGTGTCAGATTCTTGATCTCTTTACATGTAACACCTATATCTCTCCATTGGTTTCTTCTGGCCATTTTCATTTGGGTATCAAATTTAGTTAACTCATCAATCACGTTTACAAATCACTCCTCATTGTGGATTCTTTTAATTTTACTCACTAGGTTCCATTCATATGTAAATTTCAATGTGACTTTAAAACACATTTACAGTTATAAAGATAGACAATTTATTTTTAATCATTTCACATCACACACACTACCTAAGAAAAGTCAGGCTCCACCAAAATATCAACCTACACTTTTCTTTATTTTTAATGGGTATAAATTTTTTAAATATTTACACATAAAAGCAAAAACATTACTCTTTATCCTTAGTTTTTTGCATAATTTGGTTTTTTCAACCCTAAATTAATTTATTTGGACATACTATATCCAACTTCAATTACTATTCTATTACTAATGTATATTGCAGCTTCATACACACACACACACACGAAGGATGACATATCAACATCAAATGTTTGTAAGAGTGATTAATTAATGTGTAAAGTTCCCTAAATAAAACTTATACTTTTTAAATTCAGATAATTAACATTTTAAAACTTTACTACAGTTAGTAAGTATAAATTATATACAATTGCTGTAAAAGAGAAGAAAAAAAATTCTTTGGAATGGAGAGAGAAAGAGGAAACAATATAATCAGTTGTACTAGATAACTGTTGAGCGAAATAGATATGAATCTGTGTAGGGAAAAAGAAAAGTGTCATATGATTGGACCATAAGTAAACTCTTTAACTTATAAAGTATAACATTACCATGACATCTCAGACTAGAATAAGTTGTGAATGATCCCTAGTCTACTTCATTGGGCGTGGCACTTATGCTAGAGGATTATATATGTGAAAAGATACATCAAACGTAACCCAAAAATTTCACTAAGCAGAACAACCTAGATATAGGCAGAGATGTCTACGTTAATTCTGAACACAATACATCATATCCTAATTTGCACTGCATTTGTAGCTTACTCCATGTGGAAAAGTCCAACATCCGGCCCCTACTCATCGTATTCCTATATTGGACTATAGAAAAGGTTGTATAGTTGTTATATAAAATGTTTTCACAATACTTGTATGCAAGTTTAGATGTGTTAGCAAAAGTGATAGATAACCACTTGTTTTTATAATTGTTTGCTTCAACTGAGCTATGTTCAGTTTCTTTCAAGGAACGTTCCCCTGTAATAACAACTTGATTATGCGAATAGGGCTAAAGAGTTTAAATGACCAAGCTTAAAATTGGCTATGCAGTGTGCAATGAAAATTCCTAAAATAGATGAAGCTCATTATAATTGTAATATCTAAAGTGCACTTATAGGACAAATATACAAAGGCATTATTTAGCTAGCAAACCCATATGGTATCTGACAATTCACAAAGATTCTTACCCCGAATATATCAAATACAGATTTTGAGAAGAAGTACAGGCATAAGAGGAAGAAATAAGATTAAGACAAACACAGTAGAGATCCTAAAGTTAATGAGATGTGTACTATATGAAAGAAAAATCCTCATAAATAGCCCCATTACAAGTGCAAGCTGCATATATGAAAGAAAAATAACAGAAGATGTAACCTTTATGATATATATATATATATATATATATATATATATATATATCATAAAGGTTACATCTTCGTTATTTTTCTTTTTCTTTCATAAATAGCCCTATTACAAGTGCAAGCTGCATATATGAAAGAAAAAGAAAAATAACAGAAGATGTAACCTTTATGAGTCACACTACGAATATATATAAATTACTCGTGCATGCAGTGTTTAATAAAAACTTACTTTGTTTGCCTTCATGTACTCTTTCTGCTATCAATCCAAATGTAACACAAGGGCAGAAGCAAGTGACCAAACTTAAGAGAATAAACATCCATAGTATGTCGAATTGCTTAATGCTTATACTAAAGAAAAAAAAAAGGAATCCACATGATTCATGAACTCCTAAGTCTTACGGTTTCCAGGATCATCAAGACAATGACAAAGACCAGTTGACCATCATTGTGTCTTGATTCTAACCAAAGACAAACTACCCAAGACAGTAGCTACTAGCTTAGTTCTATTGTCAGTAGCAACACTTTTTGGACAAAATTCTGAATAAATATTTATGTGAAAAAAATAAGTCAAATAAATTAAGTTTGTCCGATTATCGAAAATCAAATTCTGCAGCATAAATCTAAAATCAAATTATACACTTCAACTTTCATAAAAGGCCTTTCATCTAATTTCTCCAAAACCCAATTTCAGGTTCTAATTTTCTTCACCTTCACCGACAAGTTCATACAAAAAGACAAACCTAAATCTATTTCCACACCCCCTCCTTAGATGATGGGGTTAATGAATAACAAAACTGAATGCAGTACCGTACAAATAATTTAAAACCCATAGCTCCTACATCTCCAAAATGGTTGAAGATCCAAATTTTCAACTAAGAACCGATTTCGAGACAATGAAACATCGTGCCTGAACTAAAAGCCGAAAGACTAAAACTATAAGAAATTAATAAAATCTAGAAGAAGTAATTGTAGCGAACTTGAGCAATTAATTTAGAGAAATAACTAAAATCAGAGGATACATAAAGGTTCAGACACTTGAAGGGGAGAAATAGCAAGTCAAACACAAAACCAAGCGAGAAATTGAAGGTGGAAAGAAACCCTAACCTCTACGACAAAGAGACGAGCAAAGGGAAATCATGCGACACTAGGTGGGGATTTTTACCTGGTTATGTCTGTATCTACCTACGCAAGGCCACGACCGCTAAAGTGGTTGCCACTAGGGAGCTTGGAGAAATATAAAATCCAGCAGAGAGAGCGACTCTATTTTCGGGTTTTGGAGAAGCATAAACCCTGAGACACTTGTTACTTTATTCATCTCAAGGATGTTAATTTACCGACGGATATATCTGTCGGTAACTAATTATTTATTTACTGACGGATATATCCGTTGGTAAGACCAAATTTCACAGAAACTTTAAATCCGTCGATAATTTCCCTCGGAAATCACTCATTTACTGGCGACTACATATCCGTCGGTAACTAATTGTGAATTTACCGACGGATATATCTGTCGATAATTAAATGTTCCTTTACCGACGAATATATCCATCGATAAGACCAAATTCCACAAATACTTTACATCCATCGGTAATATCCCTTGGTAATTACTCATTTTCTGACAACTAAATATCCGTCAGTAAATATCCGTTGGTAATTAATGATTTTTCTTGTAGTGTTTTCACCATTTGCAACAAACTCTTTTCCTGGTTAACAATGTATCTTTTCACTTCTTTTGAACACATTTGACACACAAAAGAGAATAATGTATCTTCTTTTTACTTTACTTATTTAACTTCTTAATCTAAACCCTCACCCTAAATTCCCTGCACTTATCTACTTTTACCACTTCTTAATTTCTTCAATTTCAATCTCAATCTTTAATTCAAATTTTTACCATATTGATAAACATTCTTCGTATAAACTTCAAATCATTTCAAAACCCAACAAAAATCAACTTGAACATGCATCAATTAATAGTTATACACAACAAATAAAATAAATTTGCTAACAGCCAAAATAATAGAACACAATATGAGATTTCTTCAAATTTTACAATTAGTGGTGGTGGATCAAAATTAAACCTACCATTCACAATTTGTGAAAGAAGGTCACGAGGCATATCCGACAACCACTACAAAAAATATTGAAATTAGTGACGGTCAATCTGTAAAACGTTCAATCTAGTGGAATCCAGCTGGAATTTGGCTGGAAACTAGACGTAGCCCTGGGATTGGGTGAACCAATATAAACCTTGGTTGTATCTTTCTAAACCTTTCTCTTCTTTAATTCTGTGACTGCATTTATTTTGATTGCTTGCTGTGTGTGATTCAAGAATTGGTCAGATTTCTTAATCTTTGAAATAGATAATCTGTTAATTGCGAAAATCTTTCAAAGATCAATTCACCCCCCCCCCCTCTTGATCTCTGCCTACTTTTCTAACAATTGGTATCAGAGCAAGGGTCTTGAAAAATACTCAAGGCTTTCGGTCCAAATCTTTAATGGCTGAAAACAAATTACCTTTTTCTGAGGGAGCTTCTATTAATAGACCTCCACTGTTTTGTGGAACAGATTATCCATTTTGGAAGATTAGGATGAAGATCTTTATTGAATCTATTGATAAAAATGTTTGGGATGTAATTGCTAATGGTCCATTAATTACAGAAAAAGAATGGCCTAGTTTAAATGATGAGGAAAGGAAAAAAGTTCAAAGTGATTGTACTGCTAAAAACATAATTACTTCTGCACTAAATATGGATGAGTTTTTCAGGGTCTCCCAATGCAAATCTGCCAAGGAAATGTAGGAAGTTCTTGAGGTTACTCATGAAGGAACAACTGATGTAAAGAGAGCCATAAAACATACTCTCATAAGAGAATATGAGTTGTTTAAAATGCAAACTGGAGAAAGTATTGCAGATGTGCAAAAGCGCTTCACTCATATCATCAATCATCTAATGGGTTTAGGTAAAAATTTTGATAAAGAAGAATTAAATATTAATGTTCTGAAATGTCTTGACAGGTCATGGCAGCCTAAGGTCACAACAATCTCAGAATCAAAAGACTTATCCGTCATGACAACAACTTCCTTGTTTGGCAAACTCAGAGAACATGAAATGGAAATTAACAGATTCAATGAGCAAGAAGTCTCTGAGAAAAAAAGGTAGAAGTATAGCACTCAAGGTTGAAGAAAGAAGTCAAGAATCAGAGGAGGAAAGTGAAAATCTTGGACTGCTTGTCAGAAAGTTCAACAAATTTCTCAAGAAAAAGATTCAAGATAAAGAAAAACACAAAAGGTATGAGAAAAAAATATGATTCTTTTAACTATAAATGTTATGGTTGTGGTAAGCAGGGTCATGTAAGAATGGAGTGCCCAGAAAAGAACAAATACAATGATAAGAAAGAGGAAAAAGTCAAAAGAAGAGCATATGTAGCATGGGATGATAATGATACTTCATCAACAGAAAATTCTGATAATGAAGAAGCAAACTTGTGTCTAACGGCAAATCAAAATCATCAAACTAGCAGTGTAAGTTCTAACTCTTCTTCAAATTTGGTGAATTATAATTCATTACAAGAAGCATTTAATGAAATGCATGAAGAAACTAAGAAACTGCAAAAAGAAAATGATAGGCTAAAAGGCATGAATAATTGGTTAGTAAATAGAGTAGATTCTCTTGAAAAGAAAATTCTTGAAGATGAAACTGATCTTGACTTTTTAAAATTAATCCATGATAATTCTGATTGTATATGTAATAAACCATGTAATAATTGTTCAGAATTACAAAAGAAGATTGATTTTTTATCACAAACTATTTCAAAGTTTACACAAGGCTAAGCTAATCTTGATGTTCTTCTTGGGTCACAAAAACTTATTTTTGACAAATCTGGCATTGGATTTACATCTAGCATGATATTCAGAAAAACAAATGTAAACAGGAAATCATACTCATAATCTATGATTAAATGTTTTTACTGCATGAAAAAAGGTCATTCTGTGAAATATTGTAGAATTAAGAAGTATGCTATTCTTAGAGGTAGAATGAAGTGGATTCCCAAAAATTCATTTCAAATAACCTGATTGGACCCAGTGATTATAAAAAAAGGGTACCAGAAATATGCTAAATCTGAAAGTCCCTTGGTGTTCAAAATAGCAAATTCGGTTCTGGTTTCATAAACTGAATGTTTTAATTGATATAAAACAGTTTTTAATCGATTAAAATCACTTATAGAGAATACCAGAAAAGTTGTCCGTACAGTTTTAATCGATTAAAATATGAATTAATCGATTAAAATGCTCTCAGGAATTTTAGTTTAACTGTTTTAATCGATTAAAAGGGATTTATATAAGTTAAAACCACTAAAAGGTCAAATTTAATCGATTCTTCTTCGTTTTAATCGATTAAAATTCTGTTATCATTTTATTAATTTCATCCAGTACAAAATTAATCGATTCTTTTATGTATTAATCAATTATTTCACTGTTGCATTTTCAAACCTAGTTTTAAAAATCAAATTAATAGGTTAATTTGTTGATTAATCGATTAATTTGTTCCTGAAAATCATTTTTACAACATCCAATTGGAAATTGGTCAGCAAATCAGAGTCAAAAATCCAAGTTTTTGTGTTAATCAAAATCTGCATAATACATATAAAATATTCTTTGACCAAGTCAAACATCTTTCCAAGAACACTTTAGCTGATGTACCGATCGTCCGAGAACACTACGCCTCTGCCTTCGATCAAGGGGACATGTGTAATTAAAGTCTGTTTTTGCGGTGTTCGTCAAATTGAACTGCAATTCACAAAATTTGACATTCGTGACTCTTCATTTTGCTCACTTGAAGTCCATTATTCTCATTCTTCAGTTTTTGGTTCAAATACCTTCTCTCTTCTTTCTTGTAATCACATTTCAAAACCTCTCTCTAAACTATACAACAAGATGCTCAGGAGATCAAAATCAAGAAAGAAGCATAAAGGAGAATCTTCCTCTGCTGCCAATCCTGGTGGTCATTTGGAAGCATGGTTTGATGGTGATATTGGAAGAATGAACACCTTCATTGCTGAGTTCAGTCAGAAGCAGATTGTAATTCCAAAGTTTATCAAATTCAAGTGGCTTGATGAAGAAGGATTTACTGGATTGAGAAGAAAACTGAAAAGTAAAAAACTAAGAACCTTCATGGAATTTACTGGGAATATTCAACCTGATTTGGTTCGAGTCTTTTACTCCAATTTAATAGTGAATGGCTCAACAATCAGATCTCAGGTGAAGGGAGTTAATATAGAAATTACTCCTTCTGTTTGGGAACAAGTTGCTGGTCTCAGGGATAGTGGTGTCAAAGTATCCAGAGGGAACATCTTTGAAATACCAGACTTCAACAAAATACAATTTTTTAGGTCTTTCCTTAAGGATCCAAATGATTCGGTAAGAATTTTAAATGCTGGAAAACTTTTACTTGAACATAGACTGCTAGCTTTCATTGTGGCATGGATGCTTACTCCAAGAGGGAGTAATCATGCTATACTTAATGAGGGAGATCTTGCCCTCATGTACTGCATCTCTAATAATATTCAGGTAAATTGGGTTTATGTGATTAAAGATCACATGTTGAAGGAAAAAAGGTTGGCGGATTACAAACTGCCGTATGCCATGTTGATTTACAATTTCTTTAGATATTTTGAAGTTGATCTTACAAGAGAAATCATAGAAACTCCTAAATCTTCAAATGAAATTGATGACTCCACTTTGAGAAAAATGGGATATATCAAAATTGATGATGAGTGGATTTCTAAAGTTGATGCTGGGATGTCTGAAGATGAGGAAGAAGATGAGCAAGGTCAAATTCCTTCCTCTCCAGCTGCTGCAGAGGTTCTTGAATCCACTGGTGGGGAGGCATCATATGAGAACATGGAGATAATTCCCTACTTGGAACAACCTGACCGTGGGACTCCTCTGTCTCAATTTGAAAGGTCCATGCTTTCTCAAATGGCCACAATGCAGGAAAACCAAAGAAAGCATATGCAAATGACATATCAACATTTCTAGCAGACCAATAATCAGTTCACAAACCTTGGAAACCAGATTGCTGATATTTACACTAAACTGGAAGATATGTAGCTCAACCAAGGGAATTGGGATGATTGAGTTTTTGGACAAAAAGGGTCCCTTCTTATCTTTTTCTTATGTCATATTTCTTTTACTGCTAATTTCTATTTCTGGTATGTTATATTAACTGGTTGTAAACCAGGAACAATCTTTTTAACTTTGCTAAATATAATGTAGGTTTTAAAGTTGAATTAAAAGAGCTTAGATAGAATCAAACATAATTCTCTGATAATTTTAGCTGATACAAAATAGATTTAATCGATTAAATCAATTAAAAATAACAGTTACATAGGAAATTCGCATCAAAATAATCGATTAATTTGCGTATTAATCGATTAAAACCTGTATGTCATGTGTTTGTATCAACTAAAACTAGTTTACATCAGTTAAATCAACTAAATAAGATACTGTTCTGATTTTGATGGATCTATTGGTTAAAACTTAATCAATCTAGTTAATATTATCATAAAACATTTTCCTAAATGATCGTTTTTACAAAATTCGAACTGAATTAGGCATGATATATGCATCAAACATTACTTAGTTTTCAAAACTGGTTGTTTTAATCGATAAAAACAAGCTTTAAATCGATTAAAAGCACTTATACAACATTTTTCTTACTATTTTAATCGATTAAATGTCGATTTAATCGATTAAATCAACTCATGTTTTAAACTTTCGAATTTCATCACTGTTTTAATCGATTAAAACATTATTTTAATCGATTAAAACCATTAACAAGAACTTTTTAATCGATTTTGTCCTGTTTTTAATCGATTATTACTCTGGAAAGAAAAATTAAAGGCTTTAGTTAATGGTTGTTCTTGTAACATGCTACTAAAGCATGATTCCCTTATCTTTACACGTGTTAATTGTATTCATTACAAACGTGTTAATGAAGATAAGTTTGAATCAACTTTGATTGGTCTTTACATGAGTAAGGTATCTTGTCCAAATTTTTTTTTTACTATTTTCAAAATCTAAAATTTTATACATACCATGCATAGTTTTTGTTGTGT